GTCTGTTGCCACCCAGCTTCCGCCGCCACTGCCCTTCGCATCTGCCGGTTGCCTTGCTGTGCCTAAGGAACCCTAGGACCCGTAGGGGTGAAAACGAAAGCACCCTACAGGAGTCAAGAGGTGGAACAAGTGATGCGGTGCTCTTCCCGGCTCTGCCCATCCTGTGACGGTGTCTGAAGTCTGAGCGCAGCCCAGGTGCAGAGTAACAGTGGTTGCTTTGCAGTGCGGTCAGAGTGCGTGTTTTCTGCATGCCCAAAGGGACCTCAGCTGCACCTCGATGCCGCGCAGTCCTCCAAACTGAGCTGCTGCTGAGTACATTAAGTCTCTTGTGTGTCTCTCTTCAACAACCAAAGATGACCTGCTGGCTCTCACTGTGAAGAAGCATCTACCGTAACACAGTCTGCAAAGTTTGTGAAGCCCTAAAATGTAGTTTGTGAACTGTGGTCCATGGACCACGAGCAACCTGTGGAGCATTTGCTGGTGGTCTGTGCAGCACTAGCTGCTCACATGATGCTGTCTTTTTCTCTTTCCAGCTGCTAAATCACTTTTTTAAAAAAAAAAAAAAAATGGGAAAAACAAGGAAAAAAAAAAAGGCTACAGATACATTAAATACTTTCCTAATCTTACTTTTACATGTAAACAATTGCTGTACTTGCATAAGGATGTTATTTGATCACCAAGGGGAAGGGAGGAGGGTGCCTGGTTGTGGCTGGAGGGGAGATGTCCACGAGACACTTTCCCTGTTAACATGTGTTCCACGCCATGAATCTGAGCTAAGAATCCATGGCCTAAAACACTAGAGCATTGTTTGGGTTTTTTTTTTTTTAGTAACAATAAAACACTTTTCTCTGATGTTTTGTTAAAAAAAAAAAAAAAAAGAAAAAATATCCTCACCCTTAATATATGCATATGTATGTATCTGCTTGTACGACATCCAGTGCCTCCTCGTCCTCAGCCGCTTCCCCTCCCGGCCCCACAGTTGGGCCCAGCGGTTTGGCGACAGGCACTCTCAAGATCTCCCAAAGGCTCGTCCGCACGGAAAAACCCCCCAGCGGGTCTCAAGGTGTGTGTGCGTTAAACCTCTGTGGACGATCGTGTGGGTGCTCTTCTCGCAAAAAGTCATTTTTGAGCCAGAACATCAGCGGGTACGGGATGGTTTGTAGCAGTTAAATAGTTGAATTAAATGGATGTGAGTTTGTATGTAAATGAGGCCAAATTTTTGCCGATTTGTGCGCACCTGACTAATTTCCCTTCAGAGGATGGGCAGTGTCAGACCCTGCTGGGAACGGGAGTGCGTGACACTGGAGCTGCGCTGGGCAAGCACTGCAATTTATTTACCGATTGCCTTGATTTAGGAAGAAATTGCTAGAGCCTTGGAACAGCCATGTGAATCAAAGTGTGTCAGGGCAGGGAAATTTGTCTGAGGAGCTTGAATCTTTTGGCTGAAAGATTTGGGAAAGCACTGGCTGGAGGGAATGGGAGCAGTGAGCATGTGGGTAGAGGAGAGATGAGGAAGTCTCTCCCCTCCTTCTTTGAGCCGTTAATGTTAAATGTTCAGAAGGGGTGAGAACTTCCCCTGTTAGTGTCCTGCAAATGCCAGGGAGTTTTCAGAGGTTTTTAATTTGTTTGGGGTTTCTTTTTCAGAATTATCCAAAGGCTCTGAAAAGGTCTGCAGCAAGGCAAGCTTTGCATTTTCTTAAGCTAGATCAGTTAAGTCTCACAAGGAGTGCTGTGGGAAGTTTATGCACCAAGACCTTGAGGTCTCCAGCTGAGGGTATGTTACCTTGAGGTGCGGCTTCCCACAAATGTCACACAAGGAGCATATTTGATACCAGTCTTGGACCCAAACTGCCTCCTCTGCTCCCCTTGTGCTGTTCGCCGCAGGCCGCTTGCTTACCTGCTCCTGTATCAAGATGTGGTTGCTTTTCAGTCACCTTCTGGATCAGCGCAGGTTTGCAGGCTGTTGCAGCTGCTCAGGATGCGGCCCATGGTCCTGGAAGATCTTTGCAACATGTCTAAAGGGTATTAAAATACAAAAAACTAAGTGGTAGATGAAAAGGAAAAGGGGATAATTAATTAAAAGAGGTTCCCGTAGGAATGTGATTTGTGGGAGCCTCATTTTACATAAGTGAGGAGAGGTGAACTGTGGTTACTCCTACCTAACATTACAGCAAACCCTAAACAGGGAGGACTGCACATTTCTGCCAAGAATACTAAAGGTTTAAGTGTGGTGGGGTGGTTTTTGGTTTTTTTTCCTCCCAGTCTTGGTCCTGTGAGGCATTTAAACACATCTTCTGGGCACAGCTCGTGAACGTGGCAAGGAGTTAATGCAGCTCGGCAGGAAAGAGCTGCATTAGGAAGCCATTTCCACTGCTGGGAGGCCTTTTTGTGCTGCGGGTGTGCGCACCATCAAAGGCACGAGCAAGGAGGAACAGACGCATTGCTTACATCCCTGTTCATTGCTGAAAATGTCCACAAACCTGAAGAAGTCAAACAGAAAATTTCCAGGCAAGGTGTGTGCCTAAGGCTGGTTTCTTTCTAGGAAAGTGTTTTCAGAGAAGGATCAGTCATTTCTGCGAATGAGGTCAGGGAATACACTGGTATCAGACGTTGCGCTCTGCTTGTGTTAACGTGTTCAGGGTTTAACCTTATTTTCTCAAGAAGTCTTGGGTCCAGGAGCAGACCTTGGTGTGTGGCAAAATGTTTGCCTGCAGTCAGCACTCCCTGGTGCAGGAGCTGGTAAAGCTGTGCAGCAGGAGAGGCTCGTGAGAAGGGATTCCTCTGCAGAGATGGTTTTTAGTGTGCACAAGGCGGGTTTAAGCCAGTAGTAACTTACACTGGTCATTGCTGTGTTCCTGTGACACACAGAGCTTTTGGTTCCAACCCTATAGACTGTTCTTTCTGATAAAGGAAAAATGGGGCCTCTAAAATGTCCCGTTAACTCACTGAGCATCCTGAAAACATTTCAAACCAATTGCACATGTTGGCATCTGATTGCCAAGAGGGTGGCTGCGATTGTTCCTGCTGCATTTCGTTCCAACATGAGTCGGTTTTACAGATGAAGGGACCTGAAGCTGGTTGCCTTGTCAGAAGCGTTCACTGCAGAGCAGAAAAGCTGTTAATAGCCATGCCCCTGGTGCTGCTCACTTGAGCTGTTTCACAGATGCGAGAGGGTTTAGCTTTGGGGGCAATAAGCTCAAAATTGGAACCCCCCCAAGAACACTCATGCCCTTAACATCCAGCATCTCCCGCTTCCCTACTGCACCATGGAAATGGCTGTAACCAGCTTCGAGGCACTAAGTCCCTTTAGGCGAGTTGGCTGTTGGCCGCGGGTAGGTACGTGATGGTGGTGAGATGCCGCATGGGTAAGAGTTTGGTGAGGGCTGCCATGTGCTACGTAGAGATGAAGCCGTGGGGCCGTTCAGGCTGGCAAATGCCCTGAGCTCCTGCCTTAAGCAGTTGGTCTGGCAGGGAGAGCTTGGCCTTTCTGCTCTTTGGAAGATGTTAGCCCTCTGCTGCTACCTGATCCTAGGCCAACTGAACGGCATCTCCAGCCAAGCAGCATCAGCAGGAGTGTGAGCTTTTCGCACACCGCTTTCTTTTAATAAGGTGCCAACCCAGAGGTTTGCACAAGATGCCGCGCACTGATAGAAATTCCAAACAACAGTTTGATGTGGCCTGGGTGCCATGTGCAAGCTTGCAGCAACCATAGGATGGAGCCTGGGAAAGAGGAGGCTTCAGCCCAGAGGGTCCTGCTTGGCTGCCCATTTCCCAGCCCAGTGCTGTGAATAGATAACCCGCAAGAAGCCGTTGCAGGAAGACCACAGTGGCGGGCAAGAGATGGATTAGCTCACTCAGCTTCTAGCAGCATGACTAAATCCCTGCCAATATCCGAGGAAACTCAACTCAAAGTTGTCTACTCTTGTATTTTGCAAGGGGCTCCATTTGCCACCTTTGGTAACCGTCGTGGAACTGTGGTCTGCTGAAATAACTCCTGTTTGTTTAAATGCTGCTGTAGGGACATCTGACCATGATCTGTGGAAAGCTTTGGTCATGTGGCACTGGTTTCTCTTCCTCATTTCCAGCTGCGAAATTACACTGAAACGGCAACAGAAATAAAACCAGCTCCTGCTCCATTCAGTGCTTTCTAAAGGGGAATTTGTCCTGAGTGTGCAGTTGCAGTCCCAGCTGCAGGGATGGTTGTGCTGTGGTTGCAAATGGGAAAGGGGAGGAGGGTGCTTGGGGAAGACTATCAATGCTTTAAGTTAGGAGATCCTGGTCTTACTAAGCGAGCGGAGAGAACAGTAAAGCCTAGCTCTTGCACACTTGGTTGTCTTGTTCCAGCCCCCTGCAAGGTGTAATAGCAGATCTTGTCAGGAAGCAGAGTTGTACTAAGCTCACAGGGTACAAAGCATTAAT